GTATCTTGGTAATGTTTTGAAAGGAGAAAGAGTATGTGATAGAGAGTAGACTTGAAGGACATTTTTATATTATACACAAGCAGGAATTGTGATAGTCAGAGAAGCTGGTGGAGTCGTTTATGATCCGTAAGAGACACATCCATCAATATGATTAAATGCCAAAATCTGTGTAATGAATCTGCAGCTGGCATTGTTTAATGGAAAAAAAAACATCAGGTCGGGGAAAGAAGTGGACATCACGGCGCAGAGAATAGCTGCTTCGAACGCTTCTCTCAAGGATTTGTTCGCGGAGGCGTTGCAGATGGCCCAATGAGAAGGTCCTTCTTCTTCTTCTCTTTATGTGTTTTTATCTCATTTCTTAGTGGAATTTGTGGCTTCTTTATTGAAGCAAAACCTGCTTTTTAATTAATGAGAATATTATGCATGTTGTATAGGATTCTGCAGAGTGCTACTCAATGGGAATCCGGTTACCTATCGTGTTCTCTTTTTACATTCAGAAAAGGTATGATTTGTTGTCTTTTTTTTTTTTACCGTGGCTTCATGCGAGTAGAATTTGGCATCTAATGTAGTGGTAAAAGTAAAAGCACAAGATGGAAGAGTGTGGATGTTTTTTCTTGTATGCAAAGAGGAAGAGCCGAGCGATCAGGATGATCAATACGACATCATTACTCATCATGTATGATTCGGCTTCTTCCCGCATGCCATAGATAATAAAAGCTGGAAAAAAAAAAGTGCACACCGCAAAATAGTTATGCTTGTTTTTGGTCTACTTTTGAAGGCAACGTCGTATCTCTCACACGTGATATTTAGAAAGGGTAGCTTTAAAGAATGAACTCGTTTTTTCTTCTTCTAAAGTATTTACGAGTCAAAAGGCATGATTGATAAGTAGTTAGTAAAACGTTTGAGGCTGACTAACTTAACGTCATTTAGTCTTCTTTAAGTGGGAACGAAACTTTCGTATCCCGCGTTTTAAACCCCCCACAAAAAAAGAGTAATGATTTTTACATTTAATTTTTCTTTTTTTTTAAAAAAAAAGATGTAATCGAAATCCACTATCTGAAAAGCACCATTGGTAAAAGTAATCAGTGGAATGATACATTGCGAGACGCGTCTCTTTGATAAAACTCGGAAGTAGTTTTCTTGAATTGAATGCAGTGTCGATGTCGCAGTCATTCCCCCCACCTCTCACTATGGTTCCACTTCCACATATCACATGAATTATTCACCACATGAGAGATATATATGTATATTACTTTATTTTAATTCATACAAAAAATTTATGATGAAACAATATTACCATTTTCATCGTAAGAGTTGTCATTTCATGGCCGGGGTCATTGCAAATACGTGTGTTGTACGTGTATACTAAACTACAATGTAAACTCAATAGATCACAAAAAAAAATAGAAATTTTTTTAAAAAAACACCAAACTTTTCAATTTTTATAAAAAAACACTAAACTTTCGATTTTATCAAATAAACATTAAACTTTTAAAATTTGTAAAAAAAAACACTTAACTCTTTTGCTATTATCAACATAAACAAATGAACTGACATAGTGTAAGGAGATGCAAATAAGTCATATTATTATCGTTTTTTTTACAATTGTATATAGTTTATATATTTTTTTGAATCATTAAAAAGTTTATTATTTTTTTGACAATTGTCTAAAAGTTTATATATTTGTTTTGGATCACTTAAAAAGTTTAATATTTTTTTTAAACTCATTTAAAAAATTTAATGTTTATTTGATAAAAACAAAAGTTCGATATTTTTTTTTATCAAAATTGCAAAGTTCAATTTATTCTTTTGGATTTTCCCAAAAAATTATATATGTATCCGCTGACACTCGGCAAAGTCTACTGTTTTTTTTTCCGTAAGCAAAAACATGTATAGATAATAATAAAAGCTTCCACGGCAAGCAGATCTGTTATAAAATATCAAACATTTTATATAATATATATATATATATATATATATATATATATATATTATAGGCAACACTTGGATAAAAATATATAAGATGATCTGTATTTTTGTGGAATATGCATAAAATACAGGCGCAGACAAATACATATGGGCCATACGCAATTTGTTTTGTATTTGTACATTGCATGCACCCATCCAGCCCTGCAGAAAAAGACATCTATCCATACAATTTTTACACAAAATCAAGCTACATACGACATTGTATATATATATACTATTTTAAGCTTCTTCAATTCATAATAATATAATTCTAATCGTTTGGCATTACGTGATATCTGGAATAATATAAGGCCTCCTTTCTCTCTCTGTCGCTTCCATAATTGAGGAGTGGGGACAAACACGACCTTTACATCACATTGATTTTAATTACATATTTAATCAGGGGTAGATTGTAGTTGGGGGTGCTGAACAACTCATCAAGCCGCATCATATATAAAAACAGCAACTAACGATTTTTAAAAAATAATATATAATTGCCTCTAATGTAATACATTGTATTTGTGTTTTTAATGAAATTAAATTATACATGGTTTTGCAAAAAGACAAAACATCTAGATTTTTTTTTATCTTAAATCCACTTCTACCAACGATTCTCAAAATATCATTCTCATAGTATGCCAAAATAAAATGGGTACAGATTGACTATATATATATATATATATAATTGAATACAGAGAGATAGAAAGGAGCTCTTTTTATACGCAATTAAAGAAGTGGGCGTATCTTTGTGGTAATGTTTTGAAAGGAGAAAGAGTATGTGATAGAGAGTAGACTTGAAGGACATTTTTATATTATACACAAGGAAAAGGCAGTGTGTAAATGATTACGGTGGACGTGGGGGGTGTCTAAGTGTGACATTTTGGTGATCTAATTCAGTTGACCCCAAACTCGCTACTAGAAGGCCTTGAAGAAAGTGCGTTGAATTTTTCATCTACTTCTTTTTACCAGTTTATCTTATTTTTTTACCGAGGAGATTGGTCGAATCTCTGTCTTGACGGTTTTTTTTAAAGACTTTTAACTGATCTTTACTCACCCGGACACGTGTGGGTTTGTGTCTGTCAGTCCGGACATTAGCCATCAGATGTCTGACCAATCCTCATCCGACGGTCTCATAGCTCAAACCCTCGTAGAGACCGCGTATCGAACTTACCAAAAAGAGCCAACTGTCCACACGTGCCCCTCAGGGGTATTTTAGTCACAACCACGTACCTCGTTGGACCGACACGCTCCCAACGAGTATGTTCTTTTTCAGCCGTCGATTCTGAAACTACGCTACTCTCGATCCTACCACGTGTGCCTGTGACCGTCACAGCGCCGTCACCGTAGACTCTACCAGATACCCAAACCACTGGTTTTTGCAAGCTTAAAATCTCACCGTCCCCTTTATCGAGTCCCCCCCCCCTCCTTTCCATTTCATCTACTACGCCATGAAAACTCTCTGAGGAAATCCGGACGAACGGAGACTAAATTCCTCGCGGTTTCAGTCTGATCTACCTCGTGAAGATGGTTTCTGTGGAAGACTCGCTTTCGCTTTCGCTGTCGAATTCCACTCGGTTCCCTTTAACCAGGGAGTTCTATGGTTCGTCGTCGCCGTCGGCGTCTAGGATTCACCGTCATGTCGGCCGTTCGATGAGGACAATTCGGTCAAACTTCTACCAGAGCGATCACCACAGCTGTTGCTCCGCCGACAAATCAGGTTATGCGTCCGAGATCTTGACGGATTCTGTCATCGACATGCGGCTCGGCGAGCTTGCTTCTAAGAAAAGTAAGTCTGTCAATTCCAACGCGTCCTCGGGCGAGGAGGAATTGTTTCTCGACATCTCTCAGGCGTTCAGTGATTTCTCCGCATGTAGCAGCGACATCTCTGGCGAGCTGCAGCGTCTCGCTAGCTTGCAATCCCCGGATATCGCCTCCTTGAAGGACAACGGCGGAGAGAATGGAGCAAAGGAGCCTGAGCCTGAGCCGGAACCTTGTCTAGGTTTTCTGCAGAGGGATAATTTCTCAACGGAGATAATTGAGAGTATCTCCCCGGAGGATCTCCTGCCAACGGTGAAACTCTGCATCGACGGGCTCCAGTCTTCTTCGGCTGCGGTGAAGCGATCTGCGGCGGCGAAGCTGCGGCTCCTGGCGAAGAATCGGGCGGATAATCGCGTCCTGATCGGGGAATCTGGATCGATTCCAGTGTTGATTCCATTGCTTCGTAGCAACGATCCGTGGACACAGGAGCACGCGGTCACAGCTCTATTGAATCTCTCTCTGCACGAACAGAACAAAGCTCTTATCACTAAAGCAGGGGCTATCAAATCTCTAGTTTGGGTCCTGAAAACGGGTACGGAGACATCAAAGCAGAACGCAGCGTGCGCCTTGCTGAGCCTGGCGCTCGTGGAGGAGAACAAGGGCTCGATTGGAGCATGTGGCGCAATTCCCCCGCTGGTAGCGCTTCTGATGAACGGATCCTGCAGGGGGAAGAAGGACGCGCTGACGACGCTGTACAAGCTCTGCACACTGAAGCAGAACAAGGAGAGAGCGGTGACCGCCGGAGCGGTGAAGCCTCTGGTGGAACTTGTGGCGGAGCAAGGAACGGGAATGGCGGAGAAGGCGATGGTGGTGCTGAGCAGCCTGGCGGCGATCGAGGAAGGGACGGAGGCCATTGTGGAGGAAGGAGGAAAGAGTTTGCGGTGTTGACGCTGTTGCAGCTGTGCGCTGATAGCGTGAGAAATCGGGGGTTGCTTGTAAGAGAAGGTGGGATTCCTCCGCTTGTGGCTCTGTCGCAGAGCAGTTGCGTCAGCGTTAGGGCTAAGCGCAAGGTGAGTGAATGTTTTGGTTGGTTGCTGTCTCAGCATTTTAGATCTTTTGGTCAGCCTGCAAGTAGTTGATGATAGTGTAATCACTGTTAGGTTCGTTAGATGTGCATTCAGCCGGCGATAGTTGACTGTGGATATATGTGTTTATACTGCAGGCAGAAAGACTTCTAGGGTACCTGAGAGAGCCGAGGCAGGAGGGGTGTTCCACAAAGCCCTTGAGTCAGTAATCATAGTATGTATGTATGTATATACCCGAGTCTTGAATGGTTTTGTACAGCACCGAGGAGGAATTGTTAGGGTGGGGGGGTTGATAGTGACTCTCTGATTATATGTGTATCTGATGTTTTAGATTAGTTTTGTGGAGTCCATCTTATATTCGGTATTTGGGTTTTGATCTGTGATGGGGGGAGGAAGCTAAATGGCTTGTAGCTTTGGATATATAAATGTGCTTGTGGGAGGGTTTTGCTTTTCGCTTTATAAATAAATATAGATTGATATGGAACCTTTCTAACCATGGAGACGATAGGCCGGGGGTTTATTCTTGCAGTTATTCCAATCATTTCAATGGTGAATAAAAACCCTAAAACGAAGTGAGACGCCTTGCTTCTTATTCTTCGTCGTTAATGAACTTTTATTTCAACGGTGAATTTATCTCATCTGCCCCATTTCACTATGTCTATTTGTTCTTGTATCTTTTTTTAAAAATAATGCAAGATAGTATATTTATTCTTTCATTTTAAGTGACGATTGAGATTTGAGAACCTACAAAATGTTTTTTTTTTAAAAAAAAAGCAAGGGATGAGGAGATTCCCGCTCCCACGCGCTTAGAAACCCATCTTTTTCCGGAAACGGCGAAACCCCCCCGGATTCGGTGGGTTACAGTCCAGGGAAAATGCGCGAGTAATATTCACGCGCCAATGCTGCGAGTGGGGTAAGTTTATTCGTTGTTAATCTTAATCGGGTTTCGTCGGCCCAATCCCTCTCAACTTTAATGGGCCTACTCCCATTCAAATCTGAAGCGAGTGAGCCCATATTGTTTTCCTCAGCCCAATACCATAAAACTTGGATGGGCCCATCTCGTCCTGACTCCCGAAAACCCAAAAACGAATATTTTTTTATATGGAATCTTTTCACCTTAGTATCATTGGATATAACTATTAAGAGACAATCAGTCGAGGGGTGCGGCTATTTTTATCCGTACATCTATTCCAATCTTTTAAATGTTTGAATGTTCGTTCAGAAGAGATCGTTGCTTCATATTCTTCATCGTTAATTAACTTTATTTCAATCGTGAATTAAGCACATGTTTCGCATTTACAGCTATTTGTTCTGGTTTTATTTTTTTGAATAATCCAAGTTAATAGATTGGAAAAAGAAGAGTTTGTCGGGCCGAAATCCAATATATTATACTATTAATTATGAATTTTAGATCTTGTATTATTCTTGTATATGATATACACACACACACGATAACCAAAGGGTTTTTTTCTAAAATAATACATTGTTATTTAGCTAATAATGATAATTACTAGATTCTATAAGTGTTTTGCATTCTTTTTGTAAACAAAAATCTGTTATTTTGTTGGTGTCTCATGTGAATGCGTTGGCCGATGCATTCGGAATATTTATAATTATTAAAAAGAAAGAGACATTCGGAATGTTTTCGAAATAATTAACTGGATATAGGAGACAATTAACTATAATAATAATAATAATAATAAAAAACAAAGAAAAGAATATGCAAACAAAAGGGCCCAACTACAGGCCTGTTGGGCTTTTGTCTTAAACCAGTATAAGGCCCGTGATCAAACCCATAAAACTGTCACACTCGCACGTATGGCGCGTGAACGACACCGCCCATAAATCCCCGGACTATAGTCCAGCGGTTTCGGCCAATTCTCGTAAAATCAGGAGATGGAGCGCGTGACACAAAACGGAACTTCTAATTAATTAAAAGCGGTTTCTACGTTTTGTCTCCTCACCCAGAAATTATCACTTTCCTTTAAATCTAAGGGAAAATTACAATACTCGTAGGATAAGTTTATACACGAAACCTTTGTACGTTCCATTTTACGATTATTTTACTATCATTACAATATTAATTATTATAAATTTATTCGAAAAGAAGAATTCATCGGGCGGAAACCCAATGTATTATTCATTTGTATAAATACTGCTTTAACAAATTTAAAGCACAATACACATGACAAATTCAATAACGATTTTAAAAATTTTAAATTCTACAATAAATATTAATTAATTATAATCAATAAATTTTGTAACGTTTTTATATTTTAAATATAAGAATAATAATTGTTAAAAAAATCTAGAAATTTAGGTTCTTATCATAAATATAATTATTTTTATTTTTTAAAATATTTTAATTATTATTGATATATTAAAAAAATTATAAATTTAATTTAATATTAATTTCAATTAATATAAGTTCTGTATTATAATTAATTTTATAATATGATATTTATTTATTCAATAATATAATGTATAGTAATCATATCTTAGAACATTTTGATTAGAGTAATGGTTTTTAAAAGAAACAAATGTTAAGTTGAAAGAATTTTTCTTCGGATCAGATTTATTTTTTACAATAACGTATAATTAATAGTAATAATTATATTTAAAAAACGGGACCCAATTTATTAGATGATCCAACAATATATCCCACAACTTGATTATAGTAAAATTTAATTATTATAATCGAAATTTAAGGTTGTCCCAATAATATTCGGATATTTGTAATTATTCAGATCCAGTTTTATTTAATAAAAAATAATAATAGGTATAACATGTATAACTTAAAAAAAAAGATATATTTATATAGTTAGATGAATTAGATATAAAATAGATGATGAAAGATAAATGATAGTAAAATTATTTTTTAAATTTAACTTATATTTTGTATAAAAAATATTATATAGATTAATGTATAATTATTTATAGGTAAAAATATTTGAAAATTTGTAAATTTATAATTTGGTACAATATTAATTTATGAATTTGTAATTACGCCTATTTATTTCTAACTTACATTTTTAAATATAATAATTTCTGAAATAAACATCTACAAATTTATTCGTCGAAATTAATATTAAATAGTTTAGTAATTTTTAGGTATAATATGAGATGCTCGTAAATATTATTTTTTTTTAAATTTATTAAACGGATTCGCATTCGGATTGGCGGATATTCCTGCCCTACCGAAGAAGGAAGACGGATTCGCATTCTGATTCAGAAGAAATCGATCGGAGATGAACACCGACATCACAGCCTTGGAGAAGCCGCAGTACCCTGTTATTGATCGGAATCCTCCTTTCCTCAAGGTCGTCGGAAACTTCAGCACCCTCGATTACCTCCGCTTCTTCTCTAGCATTACCGGCATCTCTGTCACCGTTGGCTATCTCTCCGGTCTCTCCCTCTCTCTCTTGAAATTTTGTGTTCATTGTAAGAACCGTCGGAGCATGTGGGTAACGACATCAACATCCACATCGTTTGGTGTTTCACAGGGATTAAGCCGGGGATAAAGGGTCCTTCAATGGTAACTGGAGGATTGATTGGTCTCATGGGAGGCTTCATGTACGCTTATCAGAACTCGGCGGGTCGGCTCATGGGGTTTTTCCCCAACGATAGTGAGGTCGCTCGCTACCAGAAGCGTGGTTTCTCCGACTGAGTTTAGGGTCTTCTCTGGTTTCATGCTTTGTTCTTCTCAATCATCATGTTCCCAGTTTTAGAAATTGAAAACCTTTTGTTGTGAAATCGGATCGAAGTCTGGTGTAGATGGAGTGTGGATATCAAGTTGGAGGCGACTCCGACTGGTAAATCTGTGCTTGAGTTCTTCTGCCTTTGTAATCTGGTTTGGCCAGCCCGAGATTAATTAACAGGTGCTGAGATAGCTGGTGTGAGGAAGTTGATTTGGGTTATAGCAGATTCTTCCTTTATTTGACAAGCATGTTCGTCCCTAGCAAACGATCACAGCCTGGTTGGGAGGCTACTCTCAGAGTTAGGTTGCAACCCTTCGCTGAAAGTTTCAGCTTTACAGAATTCATTTGGTGTGTTGTCCCAAGTGACGATACTCTGCAAATGAGGCCCTTAACAAGCGCTTAAGAGGACAAAACTAAAACCTACAGATCCAAAGTCTATTATATATTTCAAGCAAGCCCAAAAGACAAATGCAGCTCATCCCATTGATATATGTTGTATAGATCCCAGGAACCCTAACTCCTTCAAAGAAGAACAAACCTGAGCAATATGGACCAAGTTATATGGTTTGGAATAAAACCATTCTCCACACCTCTGCTTAGAAGGGAACAAGCTTCATCAACTTCACTTTCTTTGCACAGCCAACTCATCAATGTGTTGTAGGTTACAGTGTCTGGTGTCATTCTCCCTTCAACCTGGAGTTGCTCAAACATTTTCAGACCCTCTCTTATCCTCCTTCCCCTGCATAATCCATTTATCATTGTGTTAAATGTGGTGATATCTGGTGTCAACCCCCTCCTTATCATCTCCCTCAGAACCTCTTCCGCCTCTTTTATCTTCCCCCTTTGGCACAACCCGTTTATCAGTATGTTACACGTGATGCTGCTCGGAACCAGCTTCTTCCCCATCATCTCTTCAAACAAGCCACACGCTTTATTCACAGCCCCCGCCCTGCAGAATTCTTTTATCAGACTGTTGTACGTTATATCATCCAGCATGCATCCCCTTAAATTCATCTCATACACGAGCTTCTGAGCTTCTTTTATTTCACCTCTTCTGAGATATGCTCGGATCAGTATATTGTATGTCATGGTATTGGCAACAACACCCTCTGATAGCATATTCCTGTATACGCGCAAGGCATCTTCGATGTTTTCATCCTTGCATAATCCAGATATAAGAGAATTGAATGTAAAAATGTCGGGTTTGCACCCTTTACTCCGCATCTCAGTCAAAATCTCCTCGGCTATGCGGATTCTTCCCTCCTTGCATCGGGCAGATATCAAACAGTTGAAACCTGCGGTGTTCAATCTCAGGCCCTCTGTGGACATCTCATCCAGAATATTGTAGGCTTCCTCTATCTGACCCAACTTGTGCAACCCATTAAAAAGAGTAGTATAAGACACAACACTCGGCCGACAACCGGTGTTCCTCATTTCGTGAAGCACTTGGAGAGCTAAACCCACACGACCCTCCTTGCAAAAGCCCTGAATCAATGTGTTATATGTGACGAGATCAGGAACGTACCCACGAGAAGCATTCATATCTGATAAAACAGATTTAGCTTTGTCTAGCCTCCCGCTTGTCACATAGCCATGAATCAAGGTGTTGAAGAGCACAACATTTGGTTCAGGAATTCCGGAAAGAAGCATCTTTGCATCATCAACTCGGCCCGTTTTACACAGTCCATTCATCAAAAAGCCGTAAGTTAAACTATTGGGAGTAAATCCTTTGACCCGCATGCGGTTAACCAATTTCTCTGCCTCATGGATCCGATCAAGCTTACATAGACCATGGATGACATCATTAAACGTCTCAGTGTCAGGGTTACAGCCCATTACAAACATATCCTCAAGAAGTTTAAGCGCTTCATTCACTCTATTGCCCTTCGACAGAGAATGAATGAGAGTCTGATAGATTATGGAATTTGGGGCACAACCATGCTTGGGCATGTCTCTGAGGAGTGACAGAGCAGAATCAACTTCGCCGATTGCACAAAAAGCTTTCATCATCACCGCAAACGTGAAAACAGTGGGAGAAACGCCTCTGTTAAGCATATCGTAGAACACATTAGCTGCAAATTTATGGCAATCACCGGCGACAAGAATATCCAACACTAAGTTGTAAGACTTAAAAGTGGGCTCGCAGATCTAGTAACAACCTCGTAGTGTGTCCTGGGAAACCAGCTCTTCCGTAGTGTCTCATTATGGAGATGAATACGGACTCTCGAAAAACGACCCCTTCTTCTTTCATCTGCATCAACAACCTATCTATAGTCTTAAACTCACCAGCGGCTCCAAGTTTATCGATAAGAACGCAGTACACATCGAAGGAGTGGCGGTAACCCTTCTGAGAACCCGTCCACTCGAACAACTCCATTGATGTAGAAATATCGAGAGGAAACTCCAGTAACTTACAGAGCTCAAAAGGCGTGATCTTATGAAACGATCTCCTAAGAGAGTCGAGATCGAATGGCTTAAGCAGCTTCTCCCATTCGTTCTCGGAATCAGATCCACTGTTTTCTGGGCAAACGCCATCGTCTCCTTCAAAACTGCAAAATCCAGATTTGAAAATTGCGTAGCACTCTATCCTATGCAAAGGCCATGATCTTCTGCTCACATCCCATACAAACTTTGGTCTCGCAAGCATTAATCGCAGATTTATCAAGGGAAGAGAACAAAAGTATTCAACTTTGATAAGAATAAAGGAATCTGAGCTTCCTGGAGGAGAAGAACAAATAGTCCGGCAAATAAAACCTCAGGGAATCTCTCGTCCGAAGCGAATAGTCTTCGAGTAATTATGAAGACCCCTCAACAGATTTACATTTATTTATGTCCAGCCATCTATCAGTATTCAGTTGCACACTCAACCGAAGCCAATCCACTTTCTATATCACAACTTTGTTCCTGAAAAGGAGCAAAGATAAGTGTTATTAGTTCTCTAAGTCATCCCACTGTGGTTTAGCATACTCCATAATTACTTTTACTGGCAAAAGATTCACCCTTTTTATCCCTTAACCAAAGCTTATTTTATACATGGATCACTAGAACTATAATATGAATCTACATGATTTATCCATCATGGTCTATACCATCTGAATCCATCCAATCCAAACAAGTAGTGAAACTTTGTGTCTAAATTCTAATCCTTAATCCCTTGAGTTGATCTTCTAAAATGTTATCGCCGTTGCAAAGAGTGGGCAAACATAAAAATACTAATCTAGTTTCTCAGTTCAGCAATGTTTGCAAAACGTATAAGATCAGTACACACGAGCTGCTCACAGGGAAACGCCCTTTGCTCCCTCGAGGAAAAAGGGCACCAAATTGAACCTTTGCAGAACGACTAAACCCCAAAATGATCTTAGATACGATAACATAGACTGTGACCATGGAAGTTAATCACGTTCAACTACGAAGTCTCCACTTCGTTCCACTCATGCCCATGCCATTAGCAATCAGGACAGCAACAACAACCGGGTCCAGTAGATCAAACCCTTTAGCAAAAGATTCGATCTTATTCCAAAAATTGTCCGAATCGTTATCGATTATACTAGCCAAATACGCAGACCGCCATGACCTCCATGACTCAGTAGCACTAACTAACAATGGCATCTAATGGAATATTCTTAGCAGCAATAAACGCGAGGAAATCCCCCAATTTCAGCCCTAATATACGACAAAGAACTCCGGAGACAGGAACCTCAACCTCAAATTCAGCATGACAAGAGACAGAGAGCAAAGCGGAAATACCAGAGAGAAGGGTAATAACACCAGCGGGGGAGGAGGCAATCGGCGAGGCAGGAGGGGTGTTCCACAAAGCCCTTGAATCAGTAATCATAGTATGTATGTATATACCCGAGTCTTGAATGGTTTTGTACAGCACCGAGGAGGAATTGTTAGGGTGGGGGGGTTGATAGTGACTCTCTGATTATATGTGTATCTGATGTTTTAGATTAGTTTTGTGGAGTCCATCTTATATTCGGTATTTGGGTTTTGATCTGTGATGGGGGGAGGAAGCTAAATGGCTTGTAGCTTTGGATATATAAATATGTGCTTGTGGGAGGGTTTTGCTTTTCGCTTTATAAATAAATATAGATTGGTTCGGACATCGAAATTATTTATCTTATTTTTATTTTTATAAAAATCAAAAATCAAAATACTCAAAAAAATTATATTTTTCGAGCGAGTATACATTTTTTTTAGTAGGGTGAAAAAGTGTATTTTGGCGAAAAATCACCAAATCGAATGGACAATTATAACCTATCGATTTTTGCGACACGCGCTCAACGCGCTAAGTGTGCACGTAGGATTCGTGATTTTATTCGAGACGCAATATTTCAGCATTAGACCCAATAATCTTACACGTCTCAATTAAGCCCATCAAAATCCTATTTAATAAAAGCTTAGGCCCACTATATTTTTCTTTTGTTAATCATATTTTTTTTTAAAAATAACACATAAATACCTAATTTTTATGAAAATCTACATAAATATTTAAATTATAAAATTTCTATATGAATATCTAAACTTTTAAAAATCCTATATAAATACCTAAATTCTTTTAAAAAAATTCAATGGACCCACTCCCATTTGGAAATCCAAAAACGAATATTTTCTAAATGGAATCTTTTAACCCTAGTATTATTTCTACAGGAAAGCTTTTTCATCATTAATTAACTTTATTTTTTATTTTTTTTATAACGGAGGATCCCTATCTGCTACCCTTCGAACGCGCTGACTAGGTAGACTTTCGGCTCGGGAGCAGCCTTTGTATATAGATCATATAAACATATAAATTATCTCCCTCCCCACCAGCCAGAAATCGAACACTCAACCTCAATGTGTAGTTAGTTTCTATCCCAAACTACCAATCGCCCATGATGTGTTGGGTTAATTAACTTTATTTCAATATTGAAATAAGCACATCTTTCCCATTTGTTCTCGTATCTTTTTTTAAAATAATGCAAGATAATATATTTATCCTTTTCTTTTCCCCTAAACCCACAATTATTTTTTTTAAATTATTTTTTTTTTTGAAAAAAAAAGCAAGGGATGAGGAGACTCCCGCTCCCACGCGCTTCAAAGCCCATCCTTTTTTGGAAACGGTGAAAACCCCCGAATTCGGTGGGTTAGAGTCCACGGAAAATGCGCGAGTCAGGTTCACGCGCCAATGCTGCGAGTGGGGTAAGTTTATTCGTTGTTAATCTTAATCGAGTTTCGTCGGCCCAATCCCTCTCAACTTTAATGGGTTTAATCCCATTCAAATCTGAAGCGAGTGAGCCCATATTCTTTTCCTCAGCCCAATACATACATACAAAAACGTCCTATTTTCATTTCCTCAGCCCAATACGATAAAACTTTCATGGGCCGATTCCCATTTCTAAATCTAGCCCATCTCGTCCTAACTCCCGAAAACCCAAAAACGGATATCTTTTCATGGTAAATTAACTTTATTTCAATTGTGAAATAAGCACATCTTTCCCATTTACAGCTATTTGTTCTCGTTTTTTTTTTCAATTATGCAAGTTAATAAATTGAAAAAAGAAGAGTTTGTGGGGCCGAAACCCAATATATTATACTATTAATTATGATTTTTTTTTTATAAAGGTTTGTATTAATTATGAATTTTAGACAGAGTACGTTTCTATTTTGTTTTTTTTCTTCTTGGGTTCTCTACGTTGCATGCAGGTAGTAGTTGAATTTCCATTAACAGGCTCTACGTCCGGAGATAAACGAAGAAAGATACGGATCATGAACTTGTTCGATCAAAAGTATCCAAAGTCCAAACGGGCGAGGAATATATGGTCAACAAGAACCTTAACTACCACCATTATATGCCATCTCATTATAATAGCATCCACCCGTACACACATCCACCATCTAGGGAAAAAGATCAAAACAAACGTGTACATACATATAACGTGAACTAAGGGAGACTTGATTATGTTTACAGATGAAGAGAAGTGTCCACGTTGTTGTTCCGATCAAACCCACCTATGTTATCATCGACCGAGCCGCAAAAACTCACGCTCGAGGACTTGTCCTTGAGATTCGGCCAAAGACAAAAACTTGACTTCTCATCAATGTCAGCTTCTGAGTCGAGGCAGAGGGAA